TTGGCTTTTGTGAGGCTGTGGTTTATTTTATATTGATCTGAAGCTTYTTCTTCTCGCTGCAGCAGCTAACATGTCCTAAAAATGCTGAATTGCTCTTAATGAGAACATGGATATGCTGTTGCAGAATAATTTCACCATCTTTCAGTTTTATAGCTAGCAGATTTATGCAGCTGGCTTTTTATTTTTTTTTTCCTTTTCCAGGCCAAAGGTCGCCTGGAGAAGAATCTGAAAATGTCAGTATTAATCAATACAGCAGCAGAAAATCATCAATACCAGCCTGTAATCCTGAAGAAGTATTAGCAATGCCATGAGAAGCATYGCCTGGTGGAACTGAGAGTTCCTGCTATGCAGGACGGAAAAATGGTTTTGTGCCATTTAGTCCCAGATCCCAGCTCTGTGCTCTGCCCCAAAGAAGCCCTGAGCCATTCTGAGCCCTGCCCTTACACTGTATAAGCACAGCCCACAGGAGAAACATCTAGGATCTGAGAAGAGCCATGTCTAAGCCTGATGTATTCCTTCTTGCCCCAGTGGGCATGGCAGTCAGGAAAATGCCCAGAGCTTGGGGCAGGGTAGCCAAGCCCCTGGCTCTTCACTCAGATGCATCCTCTTCACTGGAGTTCATTATTTTAATTTTTCAAACAGAGCATGCATGTGATCTCCAAGTTGAAATAAAATGAAAAACAAAGTGAACACACACCATGCATCTGGGTTTTTTTCCGACAGGAGACGTGTGAGTGGCAGTGCATTAGAACCTGGCCATCACACCGGAGGTGCTGATGCTCAGCAGTAGCTCTCTAACACCATTCCCCAGCACCATCTCTGCCTGTGATGTTTGCTCTGCTATTCTGGTCTCAGTTCCCCTGCTGGCATGGCTCAGTAGAACACGAGCACACACATTTCTRCTTCCTCTCCTCCCCCTAAGAACAAGCCCAGGCAAGCAGGAAAACTGATGAAATTTGAGCAGTCTTCCTTGGGCAGAGGGAGCTACTTGTTCAGGATTAGTAGGGTGCCAGAAAAAGGAAACCATAGGTGATGGGTTTTCTTGAAGCAAATGCAAGATAGTGCTAGAAAAAATGACTGGCAAGCCAGAGTGTCCAATTACAGCTTTAAAGTTTGTATTTTCAGGGATATTTATTGGACAAGACAGTCTTGCCTGCTATAGCCTCACAGAGCTTGCCTTGTTTCTGGACAAATCTGGCTGTAAATATGAATTGATCATACAGCCAAATTTTCCAAAGAGGTGGGGGAAACATGACTTTGCAGGATATAGTCATCAGATTAAAATCACAGTCTTTATTAAGTTGCTGCTTAAAGAGATGAGATTGAATTTGTCTTAAATTAAAATATACTTTTTAAAGTGGCACCAAGGTGTTGCTTCTGTGGCTTGCCTTTGTTTTTTGGGGTAACATGTAAGTTTGCTTTTCATGTTGCTTTTGTTAAGTTTATGCAAACTAATTTTCCTCCTGGCTGCAGTTTTTGCTCTCCTTGAAACAGGTTTGCCCTGAATTTACAGAAGTTTCCAGTTCTCTTTTCTACCCATGTATTATGTATTTTCCAGTGACAGAACCAAAGAGAATATTTAGGAATTTATTCAAACAATAWAAGGCATGGGCACCTAAAAACGATTTTGACTCATTTGGAAATCCGATCCTAAAAGATGAAGYTCCTCTCTGTACTGTGCTGAGGTGMTAYAGCACTACATTGCTTGACCTCCCAGTTCTGTAAGAGACTTCGGTTTTGTTCTGTTCTTGCCCTGAAACCCATTAACCCCAGTTAATGCAGAAAGGTGCCTACACACGGGAGAGCCAGAAAACAGGGGATGTGAGTTGCTCACACATTTGAAAGCCAATAAAAGAAGAGCCATTCTTTGAGGATAATTCAGGCTTTGCCGCTGCTGGGCACATTACTTGCACACTAGATGAGCATCTTCTGCTCCTTCTTGACTTTATGTACAGCCTTGTGGCTTTTGCCATCCTTTCTGCAAAGTAAGATATTATTYCCTAAAGCAGCTCACTCACCCAGCTCACTGAACAGCGTGGCTGTTTAGGTGTTTCCCCGGGACAAGCAAGATGTGCTTTGAATCTTCCTGGACAGGATTAGGAGCTGAACCTTCACAAAACTCTCCCTGCTGAGTTAACACAGGGAAAGAAACATCACAATTTTCCACAGGAGTTGGGGCTGCACCACTTCCGTTGAAAACACCACAAACCTATATASATGGTGAGACCCTTCATCAGCCAGGTGGGGGGACACCAGCTTGTGAACATCACACAGGCACAGGTTTGACACAAGCATGACCATCTGCACTGCACCGAAGGCAGCATCTCTCACCTGTGCAATAGCAGCAGGGCCAATGCCCAAAAGCATTGCAGCAGCTGCAGTTTAGTCATCCATCAACGCTTTACACAAATTAAACAGTTTTTCTCTGGATTACATGCTCAGGGGACAGTTTTAAGAACATGGAAATAAAAATTCTAGTTTTAGACTCTTCTGCTCCCACAAAAAAGTAATGTCCTGCTTCCTTTTGCAAGCCATTACGGCAATAAAACACCAATAAATAAAACCAAAGTATTATGGGAAGCAGATGGAGAACCAARTTGCCTTGAGGGCAAGGACTTCTCCAGTGCCTTTAAGTCTTCCAAATATGTATATAAACATGTGAACCAGGTACAGCAAGTTTTCATAACAAAAACAAAATAGCTTTTACCTTTGCCGGAGCCTCAAAATCAGATGTGTCTTGAGGATGTTCTTTTATCACATACCAKGTGTATTTTTGTGTTTGGAGTTTTTTTATAACTTTTCGTTCTTGTTTTGTGTCTGGGACAATCACTGTCAACCCCGGGCTCCTGGAATAGAGCAATGGTTGAAAGGCAGCCTGAGATTTACTGTGAGAGCAGGGGGTGGGCAAGGGGCAGCTTCTCTCTTTCCTGCWGGGTGGGCGATTGAGGTGGATATGCAGCACATCCTCTCTGGCAGTGCCTGTTTCTTTTTGTTTATTTTCCTTCCGCACTGTGACTGGTTTTACTGGCTGTYTTCTCTGCCTCTTCACTCTTTGGGAGCCCAGAGCCAGTGCGTGCCACAGTGGGAGCTGGGACCAGGAGTACCSTGTCCTGTGCTGGGAGCCGCCCCGCCTCAGCACGGCCTGAACCAGGGACCATTCGTGGCCGGACCAGGGGAAAGCTTCCCCGCTCAGCCCCCACCGTTTTTCTGCTACTGCTCGGGGCTTTTCTTACACTGCAATCAAACACCCCATGCCTGCGGGGACACACCGCGGCTCCTGCCGCAGCTGCAGAGTTTCTGCTGCCTCTTGCTCTGCCGCCGGTGCCGCCACCCAGCCCGCCATGACCGCGTGAGGGAGACACGCGGCTGAGCCCGCGCCACAGCGCCCCCTGCCGGCGCGGAGGAATCACCGCCCCCGCCCCGCCCCGAGCCAGCAGCGCCCCTGCCGGCCGTGAGCGGAACTGCAGCACAGGGGAGGGCAGGGGACAGCCCGGACGGTGTCACTGCGTTTGTGGTTTGTTGGTGCTGCCGTTGTTGTTCGTTTGTCTTGTTATACATAATAGTAAAGAACTGTTACTCCTTTTCCCATACCTTTGCCTGAAAGCACCTTCATTTCAATGTTATAATAATTCGGACAGAAGGGGGTCATGTTCTCTGTTTCCACAGGAGGTTCCTGCCATCCTTGCCAGACATCTGTCTTTCAAACCAAGACATGATGTTATGTAAATACATTCAGAAAATTAATTCCTTCCCCATTTTGGTGTTCTCTGAAATTCTTTCATTTAAAGCTGCCAAACACCATGGTGTAAGTATGTTAAGAACTCATCCCTGGTGGGCAGTAGCGGATGGATATGTGCAAAAGAGGGGCTCAGAGTACTGCGGTACAGCCAAGAAGTGATGTCCTGACCGAGTCCCTCCCAGCTCCTGTGATCCCCAGCCTCCTCATCGGTGGGGTGGGATGAAGAGCAGAAAAGAACTTGGCTCTGTGCAAGTACTTCTCAGGATAAGGGAGACATCCCCATGTTTTCAATATCAGCAAAAATGCAAAAATGCAAATCACAGCCCCAACACCATCTACTGGGAAGAAAATTAACTTTACCCAAGCCCAAACCCAAGCACAACACGCAGCAACAGAAGATAGACAAGGTATTACAAAACTTCCCTGATATGCCTGTAACCAATATTCTCCTCAGAGAAAAATGTAACCTTCTGCATTTCTATGAGTCAATTTCAAAGCTGCAAGACTGGTGTATTATCTCAGTGGTTTTGGCACTTACCTTGTAGCCCCCTTCACAGGGGTGTTGGCTTTTGACCACGCATATAAATTACTGAAGAGTTTCATTTCAGAGCAAAATATCAGGGTTTTTTTTTTTAATGACTCTAAACATTTTTCTTCACATTTATCAACCTGCTTTCTGATGATACTGAAGAGAAAATGATTCTATGACACATTTACGCATGACCTTATGACAGGTATGGAAGGATGACCCCACTACACACAGACATTTTCATCCCGTTTGCAATCATCTACTTYATCATTCAGTAGGTGGTTAATGGAATTTGTCTTCATGTGTCATCTAGTACAATTTTCAGAGTGCAGCCACACGCTAACATCGATGATTAACATCTCAAATATGATCAGTTCTACAGCAGTTTTAATCAAAAGGTAAAAAATCACTTCTCTAAGGACTACATATGCAGTCCATTATTTAACTTGATTGAAAAACAAGTCATTTTGAAAATGAATGTGATAATTATATTTGAGATTGACCCAACAGAGACATCAGTGAGAAGAGAGAACATGTAGAATCCAGCTGTTATCTGATTTTCGAGCTTCATTATTTCTGTTTATCAAACCCATCCACATTCAGACAAGACCTTGAGGTTTCGCTGTGTGCTGAAGTGTGACATACTGGTGTGAACACGAGCTAAACTTTTACTCCTCCTAAAATCAGTACAGAACACCACAAAAAATGGTAACAATAGACAGAACCTGAGATTTTAAATCTTTATTGATTGTTTTGCAAATACATAGGACTTTGATGTTTAGTTTGCAGAGTTTACAGTACAACTACATTTTCTGTATTTTTTTCTTTTTTCAGGGACAAAAACCCAATAAAGTATAAAGTGAAGTCCAATAGAATAATATAGTGGAATCATCATCTTCTTCAGGACAAAGAGTGTCAGCTGTCCTTGTCTTGTGAAGTGCTGTCAAGCAGGGAATGATTTCAGTCCCAATCAACCTTCATCCCTGCAATACTAACTATTGCAACTATTGCTCAGAGTATACCTTACCTATGAACCACACTTGTGTCCACAGAGAGGGAAATACTTAGGAGTGCTTTAATTTTTATTCCAGCTTAACAAATTCATTTTAAAAGTGGATTCAAAGCACGTTGCAATTAGCTTGTGCGGACTCATGACATTTTCATAACAATACCAATATTTTACCACAAACTATTGTCCTCAAGATAAAAAATTCATGTGTGACTATGTATCTTGACTCCTGTTGCTACAGCATCATTGCTGTATATGGAGAGAGCCTGTTCTCCTTTTATCCCCAGTTTTCAGCACCATGTACTTTGCTCTCTTGCATTAACACTGACACAGATAAGACACAACTCAAATGTACAGCACATATGACAGCCTTCAAGTACTCTTTCACACCTGATCAAGTGGAAGAGAAACAAATAACCTCGTGCACAAACCTTAGCTTCTTGCTCCTCACAACATCCCTGTGAGGTAGGCGGAAAAACATCCCCTTTTCCAGCAACAGGAGACAAGGCAGAGAACACAACTGACTTTCCACAAGGCAGTAAGTGGAGAACCAGAAAAGCTGGAAATCAGGAGTTCTTGGCTCCTAACTCTTTGATTCAGAAACCAAGGTGCTAAACTCCCAGACATTACCAGGTCATTAGTCTGTTTATAGCCATGTGTTAATGACAACAATGGCTTCTGTGCGTGTGCCAGCAAAGCGAAGTTCTATGGCAGAAGCAGCGTACACCTGATCCTACCCTCAGACACTCCTACTGTACTTAACAGATATGTAAATGTTCACTGTAATTATCAGTCCTACAAATAATGTAGCATAGGTAATTCCAATAGATCAGTACTTTCATTTAAAGATTTAAGACTTGCCCTTCTATTTAAATGTTTGTGTTCTTTGGTCTTTTGGGGTTTTTTTTTTGTGGGTTTTTTTTCCTCTGGATAAGTTAATAGTAACTGCCTTCCCCTGTATAATAGTTTTTATAATCCTCCCCTAACCACAACATCCATTTTGGGTACTCTTTATGAGAGCTTTGAGTAAAGATGAGCAAAACACGTTCAGGGACTACACCCATTCCCTCAGAGTAGTTCTTCACCCATCTCGGCCCCGAAGGAAAAGACAGACACCTTTTGTTGTGTACAGCACCACAAGGGTCAGARCTGTCACTGAAGTGTCTTCATGGATTAAGGAAGAGGCCTTGGGACTGCTCTATCCCAAAGTGAAACTGTTTACAGTGAGCTAAAATTCTGTGGTTTTAGTATATACAGATTTTTAATCTGCTAAACCTCTGTGAGCAGAACTTCAGTCCAGCTCCACAACAATAAAAATGGCAAAACTTAACTTGTTTGAAATGAGTGAGTAACACAGGGAGTACACCTAAATAGCCTAAATAGAGGAAACATGAAAACTAGCATGCTGTTAGTTGTAGCACTATGATAAATGTAGTTTCAAGTCTGCAGTGCAAATTACCTATCAAACAAATCACTTGTATACATTAATTGTGAAATCAGCATTGGTCTTCGTACAACACATTCCCTTCCCATGGGCTCAGCATCAGGAGGTCTTGCCTACCCATTCAGGCTATGAAATGGAATTAGAAACCACTGAGTTCAAGTCACAGCTCAGTATTATGGGAATTATACTGGCATAATGGCGTTCACAAAGGCATTTTGTTTATTTCTTTCTGGTGCGAAGGATAGCCTGTTATGGTATTGACAAGAAAATACCAAAGAATTGTTTAGGGTAAATGTAACTGTACAAAATAATACCTCYAATCAAAGCAGTTTTACTGCTGTAAAACCTATGTGTGTATCAAGACAAGTTTTGTAACTGTTCCATGAAGTGAAGCATTTCTTATTTTAGAATGGAAAAACTTAGAACAAAGGCTAGTACAAGAGCTAAATATTGCACAATTTTTCTATCTGGTTCCCCAAGAAATGTATTACATTCCTTCCACAACATACATATRGTGAATGTCTTATTCTCTTAGTACTAGAATGCTTTTCTATATAATGGGCTTAACATGCTTTTTACAAGTGTGATAGGCATTCTGCACACTTTTTCTTGTGCATCTACATTTTACTTGTTTTTCAGTCACTTCATATGCTCCAGTCCTGATGTCAAAACACTATGTCAGGAATTATTTTAACTAAAGTGTTTTACATGCTCCTATTTACACAAATGACAGAAATGACAGAAACCATTATATTGGAAAGAACACTATTTTAGTAAATGTCGATTTCCAGTCAATTCATGCTCTGTATGATAAAGACTTACTGTAYTTGGTCTGTGAGATCCAATGCTGTTCTATTAACTATTTGCAAAAGTAACAAAATATTGAAATGATTTTAAAATTAACAGGGAAAAGAGGATCTTCATTAAAATGACTCTGAGATAATGTCTTTTCATTTTGATTGTCTCAAGGCGTTCATTCTAGTTATGAAATTGGATTCCAAACTCTTTTCTTTTGCTGATGCCTTGATTGACAAGTGGTGCAAACCTATTGCTTTACCCTTAACCATCTGTACTCCCTCTAGAAGAATCTTCACGGTGTCCACAACCTTCTCTTCYCCTGTTTCTCTCAACACTGGAAGGACGGATGTGACTCCAGAAACAATATTCACTTGCCTTTAACTGGGAGCTGGGGAGAATTATTATATCTGGGGAATGAGAGCAGTTCATGTGGGAAATTGTGCAGCTACTAATTGTCTGCATGAGGACGGACACTTTTTAATCTTTCTCCTTCACTCTAGCCACTTTCTAGTTTGTATTATTGAAATATAAAGGGTTACTGTTGGACTTTGGGAGGTGTAGGCCTCTTAATGCCAACAGAAACACACCACAGACACAGCAGATGCATTTAGGTCCCAATTATTACCACTGGTTTAAACAATTTTGTTACAGAGTGATGAAAAGGTTCAGGAGAAGCAAAGTCCATATTCCCAATGTCTCTCTACAGATACATATATTTGTTATAAACCACTCCAGAAAAGAAAAACCCACACCTTTACAGGAGAATGGACATGATAAGTGCTGTAGTTCCAGAGCTACATGTATCAGGAAACACAGAGGCAATCATAASTTTGCACAGTTGTTTTCTAATTCTGTGTAAAAAAAAACCTAGTATTTGGCAGAGAAACTACAAGGCATTTTCTTTTTCTTTTTTACAATGATCATTAACATTTTACTATAACATGATTCAAAACTTCGAGAATATATTCACCATTCCATTAAAATTGGTAATGTTATGAAAGCAGAATACAATTTTAGACTTATAGTCACAGCCTGAGTTTAACTATCCAGAAACTACTTACAAAGCCCTTTAAAAAAAAAAAAAAAAAAAAAANAAAAAAAAAGTAAAATTGCAAGACAGTCATCAATTTCTTCCATGTGGAAATAAGCGTTCTTGTGAGTTAGCCCAGTCTGTATTTCACATTTAAATCTGCCTCATTGGTATAAGTTTTGGCGAAACCTGGCAAAAAAAAAAGGAAGAAATAAAAACCAGAACAGTTGTCACACAGGTAAGACCTGGCAGTACAACCCACTTGTATCAACTATTGTACCACTGAAGACTAGAGACACTGTCCTTATTTAAACTGCCATATTTGCAGGATGTCAGMGATATACACTACCACAACTAAATTTTCTGATGCAAGAGTACAAGGTATGTGTGGTGCTAGTACCCAGACTCCCAGCTTCATTTATTTTGAGATAGGTTATTGGTAAGAATGCAAGCATATTAAACTTGGGCAAATGGACCTGTACTTGTCCCTTGCACAGTCTTCTGTGCAGAAATAGTCAGCTGAGTTTTGGAACATGCCTGTTAGCAGGGGATATACAATCAAGGCTATACATATATGATAAACATTCTGCAACTATTGTATATGGATATGTTTGATGAGATTATGTGTTTGATGATGGTGTAATACATTATAAAATTTATATTTCCTGTTATTAAAATATCCTTCCTCCATTCACATTCAATTTTATTTATTTAATTATTATATAGTTTAATAATTCTAATTTTGCTTTAAAAAAATTTGCCTTTTTCTATTCACATTAATTTTTGTGTTAGGACACATTTATATATTCTGTTGTTTTAACTACATACAAGTTCAGTTAGTGATATTACAAGACACAAAAATTCACAAAATTCAGTTAGTGATATTACAAGACGTACAGCAGACCAAAAATAAAACACAGTGCACCTAAATAGGAAGCTAGATAAGGAAAGAAGATGCAAATAGGAACAATGCAGAGAAGACTTCGTAGAGTAGCAGTGGTTAACATTTGCTTGAACTCTCATTGAAGGTCTACACAAAACCCCTGAGGAATAGATCTCCACAGAAGATCCAAGCCTCTTTAATTATCTCCTGTTTCCAGCCCAATTTAAAGAGATGCCCCAGCATGAGCATCAGAAATAACTCACGTGCTCTTACGTTTTCAGGATGAAAAACAGTTCCATGGATAATCCGGCTCCTACTYGATTAATGTGCCCGATGGAAGAATCACCTACTGAATCCTCCTTCCTCCTCAACCCGTCTTTTTAACCCAACTTTTTCAGTTAACAGTACTCAAGGAGCTAACTCATGAAAAAATATTGTCTAAGTGCCTTCTCAAGATTTAAAGCCTCTTTCTTTTAGAGGTACGGGRCTGTATTTTTCATACCACTTAGATTTCTGTGTGATCTTTCGTGCAGCCACTGTGTATCATCATTTACAACCTCATGAGAATAGCCACTGAGGAAAACTTAGTTCATGAAGAATGTGTTTATTGTATCAAATGCTAATTAAATATTTTCAGCGGATGGCAACCATTCATTGATTTTTTCAAAGCTGTGTGTGAACTAGGATAATAAATAGATGTAATAGGTACAATGCATCAGCCTTCCTGGATTAGTTCCAGAAATGTTTCAACATTTCAGAGTCCAAACTACTATGTGCCTCACTTTATCTGGGCCTATTTCTGCCACAGCCAGGGATGGTTCCATTGCAGTAAAGGCAAACACTGGAGGGTGAAGATAGAACCACTAAAATCTGTATTCTGCAAACAATGACAAAGGCAATTACTGGAGAGATTACTGGGGTTTTTTTTCTGATGTTGTAGATTTCAGTACCACCAAAACATTAAGCATTTTACATTTGATGAGGATATTACATTAAATATGATGTCTGCACACCTGATGCTAACAGCTCTCATTTGTGTTTGCCACTATCCACTTCAGAAGGGTCTGTTGCCCACGAGTTTGATAATGCCTGCTCAAGATAATGGAGGTGGTGAGAGCCCAGCATTACTCAGAACTGGACCCAAATGCAACTTTCGCTCTAAATAAAATGTGATTAAATAAGCAGAAAAATGTCAGTGTAACAAAAGGGATGGTTTGTGCTTGGAGAATGAGGAGTAATCAAATGTGAAATGCAGAAGGCATCCTGAGTCCTCTGCTTTAAATCCCAGTAGAGACAGTCAACCCAATATCAACCTGCTCTAAGAGCACAGCTTTTGGTAAGGGCTGAAGGGGCTCAGTGCAGACCAAATTCACAGTGCACAGCTTCTGAGTGGCTGCTTTCTTACATCACCCCCTAAGAAACACGTTGTTAATATTATTTCACTTAAGAACGTCTTATCTTGGAAGCATCACATACTTTGCTAACATTGGAAGGTAGATGTTCTGGGAGGAGTCTGCAGCCCAGAACGTGGCCTCTCAACTGGTAAGAAGATACAGAGGCTCAGGGGCTTGCTGCAGTACAAGACTGTTGAATCTTTGATTCCCAAATGCYAAGTACCCTTTTCAGCTACACAAACAGCCCCATGCTTGTTTGATTGAATTTTTATGTAGCAAGCGTTCCTCCCCCCGCCAGGGCCAGATTCTGAATGATGCTGAACCCTGATAATTTCTATTGACCTCAACAAGTATGCAACAGSAAGTTATTGCTCAAAAATTTAAAATGAGTCCCTCATAAAAAAAGTTAGTGTATTTGTTAAATTAATAGAAGTTGTTTATCTTTTATTAACACTTATTTTTACATTTCAGATAAATGCAAATCAAGATTCTAACCTCAAATATATATGTATATATGATACAAAAATCTCTTCCTAATGTGATTTTTGCAGCAGGGATGATGGATCAGARAAAAAACCTGCAACATTTAAAAATCAAATCTATCTTGCAACAGCCTCAAAAGAAAATGTTCCTCAAAGGAAAATGTAATTCCAGAAAACAAAATCTATATCCTGTATCATTTTGAACTCAATGAACTTGCAGACACAACTTCTTTTAAAACAAACACCAGCCTTGGCACATGCTTTTCCTATACTCCATGTTACCTTTTAAGAACATTTTGAAAGAACAGGCTTTAAGATTAAAGGGGGGAAAGGGTCATGGTGGGGATTTGTGACTTATCCTGATTATTTTATAATTAAATACATCTGCAAAGGTACGTTCTTTCACAGTCTCATCAATGCTATGTGGCAATACAAGCCCAAACACATTGCCTGCCAAGGTGATCTATRTGCTAGGCTACAGCAAGTCTTATTTAAGCATGCAAGATAAGCCAACATTTTGTCTTCAAAGCAGTAACATTGAGGGCGAATTCTTTATTTTTTTATATGATGCCAGTCTATAATTAAGATTGTTGACTCCAAATCATGTTTTCTTTGACATTTTGTTGTTGCAAATGTTTTTTATGAAATGTTTTTCTAAGTAAGTAAGCAGACTGTGAAATAGAATTTTATAGTCAAATATGTCTCAAATACGGCCATACAGATTATGAAGTTCTCCTCTCCAAACAGGAGTAGTCTACATGAGATGAGGCAGTTGCATGTAAAGATACAGCCATCCCTCAGAATCTCATTTCTAGTCCACCTAGAGAGGTATTTGTTTTAGTTCAGACCATACACTGCATCTATTGAAAAAAAAGCTGCTGGAAAAAGGGGTCAGCTCCTCATTTCCCCCTGATTAGTTCTGTTTCAAACTAGAAAAATATATAATTCTGCTTTTRCTGTGGCAATACAATATCACTAAAGTGCCTGTCACCAATATAAATAAACCCAAGATGTCTCATTCAGTGAACATAAATAATCACAAACACAACTGTTACTCTTGCAAGAAAGCCTGAGGCAGAATTCTGAAATGTGAAAAAAAAAGGATCAAGGATGCTGCAGTCTGAAAAAATGCCTATCACCATACTCACATTTTCTGAAATTCAAAACTAAGCAAAGGACCTGTAGTTGTTTGCTATATATCAAATCCAGGCCATCATGGATCCAGTATTACACAACAGTGACCCAGTCCTGCTGTCAAAGATTTCAACAGAAGATTTGGTAAGGATTTCAGTGACAGGAGGATTGGGACACTGGGCCCAGTCTTTACAGGACAGGGAGGGAAAAAAGGAAGAAAGAGAGAAAGAGAGAGGGAGAAAGAAAAGAAAGAAAAGGGAAAAAGGAAGGAAGGAAGGAAGGAAGGAAGGAAGGAAGGAAGGAAGGAAGGAAGGAAGGAAGGAAGGAAG